GTACGTTACCGCATAACTTTGGATCACGTCAACCGATTTCTATAATTCTTTTTTTAAAGGAAAGGTGTTACCTCACAGGTAGTCCCATACTAATCCGATCGTTGGCTCATTGGAAATTAAAGATAATCTTAAATTCTTATATGAGAATTGAAGTCGGTTTTGATATTTGCTAAAAATTTATTTTTTTTATAGCTCAAACCTTGTACGAAAATTTTAAAAACTCTACAAACTTCAACAAAATTGCATCAAATTTTCAAACATTTTAATCGGAACTTTTAAAAATCCAAGTTTTAAAATTTGTTTTGTTGACGTGCGTAAGTATTTTGTTCCATATAAAAAAAAAATCAAGCATTCTTTATATGGACCAAATTACAACTCGCAGAGACAAAATTGTGTATTACAAAACTTGAAAAATGCTTTAGCGGATTTTCATTTTGAACCGAACCGAACCATATTTTAGAGTGGTTTTCGGTTCGGTTTTGGCATTTCAAAACAGACGGTTCGGTTCGTGGTTCGGTTCAAAAAACGGTCGGTGCCAAACCGGTTTGCAGCCCTGTTTATGATGATACTAGCATACTTCGTTTCGCCCAAAATTAAATTTTTATTGAAACATTTTATGCAACGTTTTCACCAACAATTCACGTTCACGTTTTTGTATTTGTGGTGGTGAGAAGGCATATCCTAAATGCCCGTCTTAAATAGTCTAATGAAAGCGTTATGTCCGTGAAGAAGTTCTTGCGGCAACAATGATCGGCCTTGAATCTGCATCCTTGTATCGTTGTATCCCGTATCCTGTGTCCTTGAATCTGGAGGTAATTTCAAGATGGGGGAGTATCATTGGTCCACAGAAATCCAATATACATAGACTTATTTCAGACGAAATATCTTCTATATCTTACAATTGTATTTGTAGCCATTTATCAAGAATTGTCTTTATTCTGTTTAGTCGCGGTGGTAATTTTATTTCGATCTTTGGTGTCCCTAAATGACTTCACTTGACGATTATTACCAATAACTCAACTGCAGCGCCCCCTTGTAGCTCTATTTTTTGCAAAAATCCGGTGGATTTAGCATATTTTTTTCGAAGGTCACTATTTTTGACCATTTGGACAAATGGAAATATTTCCTGGTTATCTTGTTGAGCTTCCAACATATATTAATTTTCTTTTTTCCCAGCTCTACCTTTTTGTAACACCCTGTACATTCGATGAACTCATAGCAATTATAAAGGCAACAGCATTATACTTGCCAAAAAACGGCAGCACGTACTTTTGCTTAAAAACATTCTAAGTGCTTATTTCCAGTAAAACCTTAAGTTTTGCAGACATTTTTTCCTCTCCATTTTGCTTTCTATGTTGCCTCCTGCACTTCAATACAGTGGCATACAACTAAATATTATTTTAATTCTATCATTAACGATTTTGTTAATTGAAGCTTAAGATAATTATGCCGGTACAATAGAAAGGGCGAAAGTTTAAAGATTCAAGTGGGGTTTACAATGAAATTCAATGAATAATCAGTTTTTCTCGCTTTTTTCGGTCAGCAGCTTAGTACCAGTAATTGCTTCTTATGTGACCTAGCAAAAAATCAGTAATTGCCTCTCGTGTAAAAAAAAACATTTCTGGACTAACTTCTTTTTTGTTGTTTGTGTTTCCGACAGGGTAGGAGTATAACAAGGTATGATGTAAAATCGTTCTACAATTCATCATATCTGAACTAGTTCACGTCTATTTCGGTATTATTTAGTTTATGACCATATTTGGTAACATTCGGGATCATTCGGGACGTTATTGGAAGATCATTTTAGGACTGGTACTGTACTTTTCCAGAATAGTTCAAGAATATTTGGGGACTAGTTTGGCATCATGTTTCGGCCAAGCTCAGGAACAATTCGGTACTAGTACAGGACTATTTTAGGACAACTTTGGAATCATTTTCGTATTAATACCGTTTTTAGGACGACTTTTTCGACCGTTTCAAGGCCTATTCAGGACTATTTCGGAGCTATTTCAGGATCATTTCGGGTCCATTTCTCGTCCATTCGATACCAGTACAGCACTGGTGCGCAGCGCTAAGGATGGGTTGAACGGGATCTGGTAAAGTACGGCAAAAGGCATCTTGCCCTCTAGCCACAACTGGCATTAAGCGAGTAAAAAAAACCAGAGCGCTCCAACAAATTCCTCCTCACAATACGAACTCATCTCTCTGAGGAAGGCGCGCACGGAAGACGCCACAAATGGAACTAAGCGTTATCGAACTATTCTTGTCCATCCAATCCTTTGAGGCCGGCTAGTGCTTTTACACAACTACTTTTAGAAACAAATTTCATAAGATTCAGAGGACGGTTAAACTAGAGTGCCACCCTCCAGGCTGATAGAACACTGAAACTTAAACTTCTTCCTGCTGTTACCATTGCCACTGCGCGCACTGCCCCCAGAGGGAAGTGACGTGCCCTCTTTGGAACGCTACTAAGATGAAAACTGTTTATTGATCTATCTTGTATCTCGCCAATACAGACCAACCGGAATCAATCCCCTCGAGGGTGCTAACTTCAGCTTCCTGAAATATCAAGTCACAAGCTCTTATTCGAAGGCGAATGAGCCGGTATTTAGGCAATGATTGCTACTCACAGATCGAAATCCTTGACCCTCAGCCGAGTGTCTCAAAAAGAAGTACACAGCGTTATCTTCTCAGGGATCCTTAAAAAGTTCGCGGAAACGAAGTTTCAGAGGATAGTCATAAACAAGTAGAGTGAGCAAAGGTAATGCTGTCCGCCAGCCCCAAACTGGCATGAAACGAGTGAATCCCCAAAGCACCCTGCGCAGACCTCCTCACAACAAAAAAACTCAGCTCAGCCCGTGGAAGACACCGAAGACGAAATTAAGAGGCACATACCCGCTGTTGAACTGTTAACGAAGTAACCAGGAGTCATTTAGTCTCTACCATCTAGAGCAGAGAATACACCGATGGGAAATTCACGATATTTATATAAATCGTCCTTGTTTGACTTCGCAATGTTTTTAAGGACATGCTGCTCATGTATCCTTATATAGCACAACAGGCGGATCAGATTTGTATGCTTCACTGATGTGAGGTCCATAACTGTCTTAAACCAGGGGTCCTCTACTAAATATACACAACTGGGGTGGGTCCTATTATCTGCCACGCCGAAAATTCTAGCTACTGCCTGCCCATATGATCTAAGATCTAAAAATCTTATCCCGGGGGAAGTGTTGGTCATATATCAAAAATACTATACTTAAATAACTTTTTTATAATCTTACGTCAATATCTTCTTAATCCCCTTCCACTCTCTACCTTTCCAGATCACTTTCGCCGTCCTGCAAATCGCAGCACACAATGGTACACTGCAAGAATCGTCGACGCTATTCGACAGCAACGCAGGGCACACGAGAGCCACGGCCCGATACGCCACCGCCACAACGGCGCAATCGTTTCAATAGCCTGCCCAAAAATGCGCTGCTCTTTCTCTCCTGTCAAGGCAGTCAAGCTAGTTGCAGCAACGACGGTGATGCGTCGCAAGCGAAAGGCCACTCCGACTCAGAAGTGGAGCAGGCCAACAAATCGCAGTATAAAAGCGCCAACGAAAAAGAGATAGAGCTACCGCCAGTGTGCACGTGTCCATACTTCGGTGATCGACCGTTGCAGAATTGTCTCAAACCTGCGGAAGTGAAAATTGTGCCCACCACATTTACGGTAACTAACGCAATGGAAATTGAGAATCTACTCAATCCGACTGAAGAAGAGCTAAGCAGCATTTTGGTTACGTCCAATGCCAATGGCAATGGTACCGTCTCACGCCTTAGTCCCAACTCGGCGGCGCAAATGAACGCCAACAATATGGGTAGTTCACTTACGGTACACTCCAGCGATGGCAGTGCGTCAGGTTACCTTAGCGCTGCGCCGCCTCCTGGCACTCCCTGCCCGGGAAGACGTAAGCTCAGCATTTCAAAGACTGCTTCTGTGGTGACGTGGGATGCGAGTCGACACCGGCGACGCGGTTCCAGTTTTGGCAGCACACGCACCACGCTACTACTCACGCCCACTAAAACCGGCCCGGTAGTCACCTCGTCTTCATCTGCAACACCGCTGCAACGTTCCGCCACGCTGCGCAGTCACAACAACATGAACTATCAACACGCTACGGCTACGTCCAGCGATGGCACGACCACCATCATTGATTTGAGTCGATTGCGTCCACAATTTCGCACGCCACAATCTTCGCCTTGTCTGCTGCAACGCAACCAGACGGTACGCTCACATCATTCGCGCAACTCAAGCGTAATTTCACGTAACTCAAGTCGTCATGGGCGCATCATCAAACTCGAACAGAAGGCGACCAAAGTGCTAGGTGTGGTATTCTTCACTTTCGTAATACTATGGTCGCCATTCTTTGTGATCAATCTGCTGCCCACGATATGTGGCGACTGTGAAAATCGCCTAGCACACTGGGTATTCGACGTGGTTACATGGCTAGGCTACGCCTCATCAATGGTTAATCCCATATTCTACACCACATTCAACGAAATCTTTCGCCAGGCATTCAAAAAGGTGCTACTATGCAAATTCTCTTCTTCGTCGCATCGTAGCCAGAACATGTAGCAGCAATTGGAATACACAAAGACCAAAATCAAAAAACAAACCTCGGACTCGAGTGCATCCGGTCTGCTGGCAATGCTTAAACGTCGCAGTTCTTCTAGTCGCAGTACCAGTCGGAGCAGATAGATAACGGATTATGGCGACGACTGTGTACAACTTTGAGTGTGCGCGGCAAATCGGTGGGGTGAGCTGAATATTAGTTTCACTGTAGTCAACTAAGTGCGAAGTAAGTAAGCATGATGATGTGACAGACAGTGAACGATGCCTGCGACCGCCGTCAGTCTAGTATGCAGCAAAGTTTGCCAAACACAAAACTCCTTACGATAGATTTTGATATGTATAAGCATATCCATTGGCAATGACCCCCATATTGACTCAGCGCCTGCACCAAACTCATCAATCTCTTTCCTTCTCCTCCGGTCCGTGCATTCGTGCGTGCGTGCATATGTATGCTGTCGCCTGACTTGGTATGCGCGCGCTCTTGAGCCTGTCGACTATGTGACTTGCATACAACCTAGGTGTCTTTATCCTTTCAATTAATTTCTCTTCATTTACTCACGAAAATTAGTTAGAATTTAGAATACCTTTGCATACGCACTAAGACGCGCAAGCATGCACACGCTTAGGGTGGAGGTCAGTTTGTAATAGACTCGTGTCACACTGGCATTGAGACACGCAGTTGATGGATTACCTGATTCTATGATAAAGATTTTCATATGTACATATTGTTGCTGTTGAAACAGATACAAGGATGGATTGACAATAGCATGGCAAGGATACCCAGCTAAAATGATGTATTAAAGCGCTTGAAAGGATTAAGCTAAGTTAATTTTGTACCAACTATTTGAGGGTCGACAGGGTCAGTATCGGAACCCACAGTGGAGAGGTAGAAAGTAGGATAGCTTGTTGTCGGCCCGATAGGTTGGAGAGGCACAAAGATGGCAAAACATATAGTTTTACAAAAACAAATTAAATAAGTACTAAGCATATCCTGTGCCCGGGGTGTTTATAGGCTTGGTATTGTTGAATCTATCCAAAGTGGCATCGCTGAATTCGAACAGTTTAACGTTTATAGCCTCAAGATATGAGTATATTGAAATACCCGCAGTAGACTTCGCGAAACTCGAATCTATGGTTGTTTTAACAGAGACTAAACTAGCCTGGTTTTTTCCTAGGAGTCAAAATTCAAGATCACTAAAGTAAAGTCCTTTACTCCTTAGGCACGATGAGCTGTATGAGCTTTACAACGAATCGCTAAATAAGAAGAAGAATTAAGTAAGCCTCTCAAAATCTTTCAGATTGGACTTCATATCGCCTCATTGTCTTCTTCGCAACCGCTGAATTAGAGTGTTCAATTTACTTATGCTGAATAGATTGCAAGCGGACGTTGTTTGTCTAAACTCTCTCTTGACCGACCACTAGAACCTGTTTCAGCTGCCTTCAAAGCACTCGACGTTTCAAAACTTTTACGTCAAGAATGCTGACCTATAATTTAACTCACTGCACGAAAAGCAAATCACAGACAATTAATTTGACGGTTCTCGTTAGGTGAAGCCCTCACCCCACTAATGTTTAATTTACATATCGTCGTTTAAAGTACAAAACCGCGTATCGTCATTCTGCAAAACCGCGTAACTGACATTGGCTGCCAAAACTTGGATTTGCTCACACAAGCTCTTGGCTCAATCCTTATCCTTTCGTCCTCAAATATACTAGCCAGAAATGCGATTGCTTTATAAAAAAAGAGAACCATTTTGAAATATGAGTATTTTTCATTTGCGGTTTTTCATTTTGCTGATACGCGGTTTTGCACTTTAAACGACGATATGCATATGGAAACTCCCTCCTACACCTAAGAGCGTTTCCTTGATTCCACAGCCAGATGAGTATTTATTTTTGGCATATGCAAAGACATTGATGACTTGTTTTAAAAGTGAATAAACTGATCGATAGCAGTCCGAAAATTTTTTCTTAACACCTTTGACATCTGCTTTAACATCGAGCTATGAGAGGTGCGTACACTTCTACTCGAGAAGTCCCGGGCTCGATCCCCACTAACATCAACATTCAAACCAGTTTTTCTTACACACATTATGGCTGAAATAAGCACTCTCTGCGGCCAAAAATCAATCGGCCCATAACCACACCCATATGCTGGGTATCCCAGACCACCCGTCCAGCCCTTCTAAAATGGAGGAAAATTGTTTTTATTGGAAAACGGTAAAATATGAGCTACCAAGTCGGGGATGCTCTACCTTTTGGTCGTATTACCGGCTTCCGATTTCGACCAGAAGTCAATTATTTTAACCGGAAGTCTATTCCAGAAAAACGTCTCAGACAAGAGTTACATATTTTTTTCCGCGGAATCCGAATCTGTAGTAAAAGCATTTATGCCCCATTTAAAAAAATGGACTTCCGGTCCATCTACAAGTTGAATATTTGTTAATTTTTGACTTTGGTGACGTCAACAAAAAGAAATTATTAAAAATCATTGCGATTTTTTAACCACTTAAAACTTGAACTTATTTTACTAAAATTTTATAAGCCCGTTAAGTGCATACCCAAAAGATTATAAAAATTCTGGTTAAAAAGCTCGAAATTTGTGGAATTTTTCTAAATTCTGTATAAAGTTTGAAAGTGTGATTTGTATGGTTTTTGTTAAAAAAAAAATCAAAAAATGGCAGGCATTGCCTGCGAGTATTTACTATCTCGCAGTCTAGAGACAAGTTGAACGGGGGTGCAGCATACTTTTAGTCATTGGGTCGGTTGTAAGTCCCTTAAACAAGCCAAATTTACTGATCTTACGGCCGTTTTCCTACGTCATAGTCATCGTATGACTATAGGTTTTACCGCTACGGCTTAAAATATGCCGACAAAACTTGAGTTTACAGCTCCAATACTCATAATGACGCATTTGTATGTTATTGTTATGGCCTACTGAGTTAGTGACAATAACGAAACAATACTTATATTTGGCGCCATAAACTTAAACGCAGTAGCTACGCATAGGCAGTTAATAGGGCAGTTAATTAAACCATTGTCTTCAGAATAGCCCACAACAATTTCATATTCAGAGTCTTGTACACTGAGGGAAATAATGCACAGTAAAAATGAATACTTTATATTTGATTATCGTTTAAAAATGTTCGTATCTAAAAATAATATTTTCATACAAAATTTATTACGCACGTATTTGACTGTTCACATGTGAGTATGTATATGTAAGTATACATACGCATCCCAAGCATGCAGAGCGGTGACAACACACACATATGTACATACATAGTACAAATCGCGTGCTGAAAGCAAATTTATATGTCTGAGTGTAGCTGAGTGCGTAAAGATGCTTGCCACAAGTTGTTGATATCCGGAAATGGTCGGGTTCGAATTCCACTGCAGGCAACATGCAAATACATTTTTTTTTTTAGTTTTTGTCTTGATTATTCACTTCACGGATGATTTTTCAGTACGAACTCGGTCATTTTAATATGCGCGTAATTGAATTGAATATTTACCAATATACAGTACTTTCGTTGACGTTTATAGTAAGATCAATTACGTTTCTATTTGATTTTAATATTTTTTTCCCTCAGTGTAGTTAACGATCGCAATTCGTAGTGCCTGAAAGCATACAATGCTGAGAAATCAATAGGTACTAATTCAGAAAAATTTTATTTTTTTCCACAAAATCTGACTTTAAGTTAGCGGCTGTTTTTGAGGTATTTCCCCCCTTTCGTTCCCAACACCAGGACACGCACAACGCAGTGATCAACTAGGCAATGTAAATTCCGTCTTAGGGGACGCACAAACAAAGCTCTTGTGACTGAGTTACACGGTTAAAAATTTCGGTTTTAATTTTAAACTTTTTGGACTACATATATGACCAAACTAAATTCAGTTTCAAATACAAACCTTCCAAGTTTATAAAAAAGAGAGCACATATGTTGGGTTTAGAATTTAAACAATTCGGTTTAAATGTTAAACCCAAACATTTTCATAATTAAGAATTAAAACAAAAAAAAACAATCTTAAATTTCATGCTCCGTCTGGTTGGGATTGAACCCGGACAGCCTTGGTAACAACCAATTGTATCAAGCATCTTTGCACACTCAGCTACAGCCACGCATGTAAATGTGCTTTCATATGTTGATTTTGAATCAACACCACAATTCGCTGTGCAAACATATTCTATTTCGGTTTAGATTTTATACCAAAGTTTCTATATTTGAAACCTAGAAACTAGAATTAAAACATTTTGGTTTGATTTTTAAACCACGAACTTTTTGTGCTAAAATTTAAACCAGAATATATTAAAAATTGCGTAAAACTATTGACTGGTTTAAAAAGTAGACTATAAAAGTTTAAAAAAGGCAGTGGTCCCAGCGCGGTTTAAAAATTAAACCCAAATTTTTGACCGTGTAATAATTTGCAAATGCTTAGCCAAGCTTATAAGATTCGGTGTTTTTTTTTAACTTTCTGCGCTTTGAAAAATCTTTTCATTGATTTCATTTTTAAGAAATTTAATACATATGCAGAAAAAGACTCGCCGCACATGAAGCCTAGCATTTTTTTATAAAATTTTTCTACTAAATGGTTTAAATGGCGGGGCAGCATACCTTGGCCGTTCTTTATTACAAAAATGTAATATTTTGACAAAATTTTTTTATAACTTTTGAATAAAATAGATAAGAGCAGTAATTTGAAAACCACATTGTTGTTAGCTAAATACTCAACGTCCTCCAACATACGCCATGACTGTTTAGCGTGGAATGCACCTATCACATACATATGTACATAGATGCATATCTATTATGTACTATTACATACAAGCACGCCGAAAGTATTATGGCCAACCATACATGCACATATATTGGTTACTCGTACATATGTACCTTTTAAGCACCATTTGTGGCATTAGCTTTATGAAGGACAAATTTAAATGAAATTTATGAATAATTTATATGTATGTACGTAAGGCAAAGACTACCTTGAATGTTTTGTTC